GCAGGCGACTCTACGGCACATAACAACAACAACAACAACATACATTATTCATCCCCTCTTAATTTTCCCACAACCAAGATGTCAGTCCTGCTTTACAACAGTGGCACTATGCACTATTTGTCCTTTTGTGACTGAGATATTTCGCTCAGCATAATGTCGTCCAGGGTCACCCATTTTGTATATTTAATGAGTTTCTTGTTTTTCAATGCAGCATAGTATTCCATTATGTAAATATACAAGAAGAGCTTATTTATCCATTCGTTTGTTGATAGGCACTTGGGTTGTTTTTTACTTTTTGCTATTGTGAACAAAGCCATAATAAACATGACCGTGCATATATCTGTTTTGGTGGCAGTTCTGGTTTCCTTAGAGTATATTCCCAGTAGTGGGATTGCTGGGTCAAATGGTATTTCTATTTCCAACTTTTTGAGAAAGCGCCATACTGCCTTCCATAATTGGTTGCACCATTTTAAAATCCCACCAGCAGTTAATAAGGGTTTCAGTTTCTTCACATCCTCACCAGCATTTGTTGTTTGCTGTTCTGTTAAATTTTGCTTTTCTTACTGGGTTGAGATGACATCCCAAAGCTGCTTTGATTTCCATCTCTCTTAGAGCTAGGGATATTGAACATTTCTTCATATGTTTGTTCACCATCTGAATGTCTTCTTTGGTGAAGTGTCTTTTCATATCCTGTGCCCATTTTGCATTTGGGTTGTTATGGTGGCCAAGTATTTTATAAATTCTAGATAAAAGTCCCTTATCTGACATATCATTATCAATTTTTCCCCCAGTCTGTGGCTTCCCCTTTTGCCCTGTTGGAGAAGTTTTTGGATGTGCATAGGAATTTTAATCTTAGAAGGTCACATTCATCTATTTTACCCTCCTCAGTTTGTAGGGTTTTCAGGATGCTTGTAAGACTGTTTATGTTGTGGATCAGGGTTTCTAGAGTTCTTCCAAGCTTTTCTGTAATCAAGTTTATAGTCCTTGTTTTAGTCCAGGTCTTTGATCCACTTTGAGTTGTTTCTTGTGTATGGAGTGAGGTGTTGATCTTGCTTGAGTTTTCTACAGATAGTTTTC